TATTTTAATAGCATAGAGTTTCAGCCTATTAATAGGATAGAGTTTCAGTCTATTCCTCATTTTGGAAATGAGCACCTCTTCTATGAAGACAGGCTGAGAGAGTTGGGGTTGTTCAGCCTGGAGAAGAGAAGGCTCCAGGGAGATCTAATTGTGGCTTACCAGTACCTGAAGGGGCCTACAGGAAAGCTGGTGAGGGACTGTTTATCAGGGAGTGTAGTGACAGGACAAGGGGTAATGGGTTTAAGCTGAAGGAGGGCAGATTTAGATTAGATGTTAGGAAGAAATTCTTCACTGTGAGGGTGGTGAGGCACTGGAACAGGTTGCCCAGAGAGGTTGTGGCTGCCCCATCCCTGGAAGTGTTCAAGGCCAGGTTGGATGGGGCTTTAGGTAATGTGGTCTAGTGGAGGGTGTCCCTGCCCGCAGCAGGGGGGTAGGAACTAGATGATCTTTGAGGTCCGTTCCAACCCAAGCCATTCTATGATTCTATGCCACTGGTCTTCCTTAGAAGTGTTCTTCCACATCAGAACAGAGGCATTAGAGGATTCATTAGCCTTTCTGGTGATATCTGTGAGGCCATTTTATATCAGCTGTCCATTACATCTGGTTCGTTATTTTAAAGCATAACTCCATTCCTATATGAGTGCTGTGCACTTGTGGAACATGGTTGTACTCAGGATTTCTGCTAGGTCAAAACAGAGCCCTTCTGTCTTCTTAAGAAGAGCACAACTTGACTCATGTTCTTAGACTAGTTTCAACATGCAGTGTTAAGCAATAGATGGTCAGTGAGGACTCTCATTTTTTTGTTATCAGGAGAATTCTATCAGACCCTGAACACAAAAGTAAAGGCAATCTTGATTTGAAATTCTTATTGTTTTCATCAGTTGAACGTCATTCTGTCCCCCATTTCTGTCTTTGCTGCAGTCTTTTAACATGGATACATACATGTGATATTGAAGTTCCCTTGTGTCAGATATATTATAATCTCACTTGTCCTGAAAATTCTGTATTAACCAATATTCTTTTTAAAAAGCATTCTATCAACTCCTTTCGAACATATAAAAAGTAATTCTGCATAAGTGCCCTGTCATGTCTGTTAACTGAATTGCATAGCCTTGACAAGAGAGTTCATCTAAACTGGCCAAGGCAGCAGGAGGTGGTGACTGGGGAACCTCTGTCTACTAAGAAAGATTTTGAAATGCCAAACCTAATCAGCTGGAGTTGGCATTATCCCTTAAACTTCTTCCTTGTGTCGATGGCATAGAGAAATGAGCTGCCTTGCTTATAAATGAATTGCCAGACAACTTTATTTTGAATTACCACTTTTAATTATGCTGCTGATATAATTTGCTATGATAAAATTAGTACAGTGCTTGTTTAGTTTTCCCAGTCCAATGAGCTGTACAATAGAGCTGTCTGAAGTAGACATTTGTTCAAGGCATACTGTTTTTTTAAAAAAATCATTATTCTGCCTGCCAAGTGGAATTGGAGTCCACAGCATCAATCTGATCCCTCTATTCAATAAATACAGTATCTCAAACTATTCAATGTGCTGAATAGTAATATAGCAATGTGATAGCAATTATAGCAATAAGATCTGTGTGCTTGAGACTTTTCCAACATCTGTTGCATATACATTCCCATAAGAGCTGGACTGATACGATGTGAGCAGAATATATTCAAATGATCATGTTTTGGCTTGTCAGAAATGCCTTTAAAAGAAACTTGATGCCACTTAAAAGATTTTGTATATTTTGCTAAAATTAGCAGTAAAGATGATTAAAAATAAAAGACGGCTTATACTATGAGCAGGGGTGATGGAGTTATTCAAGGCTGTGTTTTGTGGCAGCACAGTATTGCAGACACTCCAAGGTAGCATCGACTGAACGAACGTGGAACTCGTGCAGGGCTTGGTTGGGTTCATCAGCCCGCTCTGCCACTCAGAGGAAACAAGATGCTGTACTGATACAACTGCATCCTTCCTGGGATCTGACCTGGAACTTCCATTTGGCTGTGTGCTGTAAATACACCAACTGACTAAATGCTACTTAAGGTATCTTCACCATGAGGCTGGACTTCAGAGAATATACATTTAAAAAAAAAAAAAGAAATTAGTTTGGGATGTATAGAGGAGATGGCTAAGAGGGAATATTACTGAAAGAAATGAGGTAAGCCCAGAGGCAGTGTTGGCAGCAGAAAGCAGATGCAGTTTATGCTGTCAGAACATGGGTAGGGTGAAAAAGCAAAGGGATTTTTGGATAAAAGTCTGGAATAGGCTTTGAGCTGACTTGGAACTTACAAGTTTTTAAAAACAGTTTGACCACTTGTGAAAGATTATATTCATATGACAGGTGGTATTCTATGATTCTATGATTTTACCATTAGAAGCTATTTTACAATAGAGTAAAATAAAAATTTGTATTTAAAAGTTGTGGAAACCTATTGAATGAAAGTGGCTGACAGATAAGAATCTGAATTATCTTGTGCATAACTTGGCATGTTGGAGTTTTCTTGCATTGTTTTTGAAGACTTGAGCGGTGCATAGGCTTTTTGCCTGCCCAGATGTCAGGTTTGCTCCAACAGGGATTAGACAAACAAGAAAAAACTTTTTTTTTTTCTTAAGAATTTGATGTAAATTATTTTTGAAGGAAATAAACCTTCCTGAGTTACTTGCAACTAAACATAACATCATTATGCCAGTGCAGGGGAGCTAGAAAGTAAATTTGGCTGAGCAGGGCTGAAACAGTCCAGACCTCTTTATAGCTGAGAGTGAAATGTAAGATTTAAGCAATCAAACTGGTAATGTAATTTTTATCTTAAAATAATTAGATTTCCACCTGTCTCCAGTCCCAAATAATAAGTGTAAGGCTTTTCAAAGCATTTGTTTTAATTTTTGGCTTGATTCCAGCCCTCGTAAGAACTGTCTAGCTGACTTCCTGCTTTAATAGCTGCTGAAAGTTTCTTGAACTTGTGCAGACCTGCTGTGCGGGTACTGGGCCAGCTTAGCTGTTCTCCTTATCCCTTCATAGGGTAATGCTCGTGGCAAGGTGACTTAAATCTTGCCTTTATGACACGGGGATGACGTGACCACTGCTTAAGATCAATCTGAACCTCTATAGCACACCGATCCTGAGAGAAGCAGAGGTACGGTCCTGCAGCTGTGAGGGGAAAAAAAAAAGAGATGGGAGCTAGTGACAGGGGATAAATTCAGGAGTCCACACTCGACTCTAGGGCTGGGTTTCTTCAGCAGTCACATAGCAGCAGCAGCATGTAGCCCAACAACGTGGCTCTGGTGCTGATGTCTGCATCTTTCCTCATTAAGTAGCTGCGCAAATGGCTTAAGGCGTGCCTAATCACTTAAAACTAATCACAGCGGCTGAGGTGGAAAAAGATTATATACCCAACCATACATACACCATCTGTTTCTAATGTGTACGTAAGAACAATTCATGTTCCTTCACAGTGCGTGTAACTGAAATGTTGCTTTTGTAGAGAGAGAGATATGAAATGCAAACAATTTCTCTCACTGATACTTGTCCTTTTTTCCAGCATTAGACTGCATGTAGACACACTAATGTTCCTCCTCTGCCTGGTGGACCCAGGCACTGAAAAACTATTTGAACATAACGATTGTGCCCAAATGCATTATAAATTTCTTTTCTCTGGCTTAGTTTTCATACGTCTGAGTTTCGTTTTGTGGAACTAGCAGTAAAGAATTAGTAATATTTTTGGTGTTGTGATATTACACATCATGAAGTAAATAGGGTTGCTTGAATTCCAAAAGCTAGAAGATTATTTTCATGCAAAAGCACCATTCTTAAGTCTCAGCTGGTATCCCATTAAAAGCAAAAATGCACGGTGACTGATGTTTCCAAAAGATCTACGCATGAAATATAATGGATATTAAGAATCTTGGATAAAAATGAAGTGTCGGCAGGTACTTGCTGTATTTATTTATTTTTGCTTGTACTATTAATTTTGAAACTGACACCACAAAAATATCTGTGAAAGGTGAGCTAGAAATAATTTTAATTATGGACTCTATATGTGACTGAATTTGATTTGCTAGTACAAAAGCTTGGGATGACAGCCTTTACATCTTTGTATTATTTGTACTTTGTGCTCTTGCTTAATAGCATTCTCCCCTTGTGTCTGGTGTGTGATCTTGTGGAACTCTTAGGCTTATAGTACCTTGTCTCCATTTGGTAGTGGTGCTCACAATGGGATACGGTTGCATACTAAAATTTAATGACCTTATATGCTAAAGGCAGGTCATAGCCTTGAGAATGATTTGTATTGAACCCTCTTCCCACAATACTGTCCCTTGTGAGTGATCCTGAAGAATCACAAAGCCTTGGATTTAAATTTGGATTCCATACAGCTATGCTTCCAGTAGGCTGTGACACAGATTGAAATTATTTGCTGTTAACAGCATCAAAATGTGTTTTTGGTGGAAGTATTGAGCAACTGAGTCTGCAATTTGTAGCTACAACCTTATGAGCAAAATGTCACATATTAAACATGTTTTATATCTCTCTTGCTGTCTGAGATTGTGATCAGCTCTGTAGAGATGCAGCCTGCACTTTGGTCTTCTCAGGCTCATCAGTTTAACATTTTTCAGCTCTTCTAGAAGATCTGATTGCCTTGAATACCTTTTAAAACATACTTTAATTTTCTCACTGTTCTGTCAGTCCACTCCACATAGGTCAGCTTTGTGCTCTTCATCACTCAGCATAAGGTAAATGCACTTCATTTTGAAAGGAATCATCGTGGTTGTTTGATTGCATGAAATAAAAACAATATCCTTTCCCATCAGACATTTACAGTAGATCAAAACCAAAATGAAAAATTAAATGGTGAAAGCTGCTTCCTCAAACAGTGACAAAAAGTAGTCATGAGCAAATGAGCTGAGACACTTCAGTCGTATTTAGTTCCACAAATAGGTTTTGCTTTTGGTCAGGCTTCCTGTATTTTGTGAGCTTACATGTGTTCAGCAGTGCGCTATGAACGGCAGCAACAGTTACTTTAATTTTGTGATCATGTGGCAAAGCAGTAAGATATCTGCAATGTATTTCATGGACAAAGATTCCAAACTGTCTAACTTATTTCAACAGGCAAGCAGTCCTACAACAGGAACCGCTCCCAGGAGTCAGTCACGGTTGTCTGTCTGCCCTTCCACTCAGGACATTTGTAGGTATGTGCTGAGAAAAATATACTCTAATCTGGCTGATACTTGTTAGTTGTTTTTATTAAATAATACATAGCTCTTGCTTCTGCTTAACACTATTCATAATTTACATAGACTTTAGTTTTCTTTTGATCTCGCTTTGTTTTGGTTCTTTTTTTGCTTTTCAGTCTCGTGTTTTTCTATTTAAAATTCATGTTCTCATTTTCATCCTTTTTTTGTGATTTCTCTCTTTCCACCCACCCTTACCATTTCCATCCCTTTCCTTTGCTTACTGCTTTGTCTAGATCTACTACCTTGCATGATTTGTCAGAAGATGAGCTTGACCTTGCAACCCCTGTCATGGTGCTGACCCCTTCTAATAGGGAGTCTGGTAAGAAACAAGTAAAACGAAGGTTTAGGCGGAAAAGAGAGACTGGAGACAATGGTGAGCATACAGAAAAGCAAGGAAAGGGGAAAGACTGTAAATTGCATCCTGAGCCTGCGAGATCCAGCTGGAATGCATCTGATTCATCATCATCTTCGGATGAGAGTCAGTGGGCTCAGGCTAGGAGGAGAGCGAGAGAAAAGGCCAGAATGCCCAGGAGAGGGAGAAGGAACAATAGATCGTGCAGTAACCAGGATGGGTCCTCAAACAATAATGCTGTTGAACTTGTCACCTTGGGGACAGTGGGGAAAAAGAAGCAAGAGGTATCTGACCCTGAGAATCCTACTTTAAATCACCGCCGAAGAAGGGTTCCAAGGCTTAAGGAATCGCAGTCTTCAGCGTCTTCTCAGGAAGCAAGGATTTCCTCGAGGAAATGTGGGAAAAGCAAAGGGAAAAGCTACAGCAGAGATCAGCAGCCTGCGCCTTTCCTTAGACCCAGTAAAGATTCGAAGGACCGCTTTGCAGAGGCAGGCTCTGGCAGTGATGCTCTGGCGGTCCCAGATAACGGAGCACCTGCTGGGGCAGGGCCCAGCGTGACTGACGCTGTTCAGAAGCCTCCAGTGTTGTATGATGACTGGTCTGATGATTTAGAAGTATGCAGGTTAGTTCCTAATAAGAAAGATTTAACGTTCTTAAGAGGAATTTCTCACCGCCATGGGCTGAGCGCCCTTCTCGACTGCTTTCTGTCACCGTTTCTCAGTAATAAACTGCTAGGCAGGCTTTAAGAGATAACAGAAAAACCTTTGCTACAGAGAAGTTAGCATATCTCCATTTGAAGACATACTTCTCTTATTTAAAAACAGTAATCCTACAAGGGAACCAAATGTTTTTCTTTGCTCCATTTTTCTTTATGAAGACAGACACGCTGCGTCCTCTGGCAGAGTAGTACTGTGTTTTAAATCCCCAGCCGGAGGCAGAGGAGGCAGAGTGCCAGATAGCTCGATACAATGGGATACGGAGTTTTTCCTCCTTAGGTGAGCAGTTCAAATCCAGCTTTGGTCCCTCTTTGCCATTTTTCATTGACTTACATGAAATTAATTTATGGTCTTGATTCAGTGCCCTCTAGAGCTGCCACAGCAGCAGATTACCACAGCAATCTGATGGATGGTGCCTGCAAAACACCCTCTCAGGTTGAGCATAAGTTGCACGGGACTTTGCACTGCTGAACACCTCTCTACTGGGAACGTGTAGGGGCTGTTAGTTCAGTAGCCATCACAAGGACTGAAGCGATACAAAGGCTGATGGGCCAGAATAAGCATTAAAATAAGCTTTGGGAAAGAAAAAGCAACACCAACAGTTCTCTCTAGTTCAGGCTTCTGACAGTCTGATACCCTTGATATGAAGCATGCGATCAGAAGTTGGGCGTTTTCCCCTGGAAATGAAAGCAAGCTGGCCATTTCTGAGCTCAAGTCCAAATTTGGAGTAGACAGCTGGATGGACTTGAGTTACTTAATTTAGTGGTAAATGAAAATGTACCATCCAGTAAGTTTAACAGAACTGAAACAAGTATTTATTTTCTTTTTTCCCCTTTTTCTTTTCTCTCCCCAAACTTGTGAGCCAGCATTGACTCTCATCTACAAAGTGCAAATGAGGATCAAGCTTAGTTTCTGGTTATGGTAACTCAAAACTTCTCACTTTTCTTTGCTGGAAGAAATTTGCATGGAAATGTAAACACAGTCAGAATGAGGAAGTTCAGTATGCCACATCATGCAGTTTCACAGTATACTTCAACCTCGTAACACACTACAAAGATCCCAGTTTTAAAAAGAAGAAAGATTAGATGCAGGCATTGCGCTTTTTCACAGCAGGAGATATAAACCATTACTAATACAGCTAGTGCTATGCACTCCTTGTTACACTTAGCGAGCAAGAATGGACATTTCAGTTGTCCGCCCGTGGTGTCATGATAATTTAAGATGATTCAGAGTAAAGTCCAGCTGTGTTTGTACATCAGCTTGTACATCAGGACCACACCCATGACTTGGGACCTCTTCGCCTTACAGAAATGCAAAGAAACAGCAGCTCTTTGAACAACCAGAGTTAAGCTCAACACAGTTGATAACTCGGTCTGTTGTGCAAAATTTGTCAAAAGAGTCATAATTGCATTTTTCTTCATGTCAGGGGTAATGCTATTTTGTTGTTGTTGTTGTCATTACTAGGTGGATCATAGTGATGATAATACATCTAGGAAAAACATTAGAAAATCAGAAGCATGTTAATTTTTCATAGCTGGTAAGTGATCTTAATTTGCAGACAGCCGAAGAAAAGGCAGGCATATTCTTACTAACAATTCAGTATAGACTGTAGTTTCTGTTTTTCCAGACAGGTCCGTGTACTTAATTGACTCATGATCTCTGGTATGTTTTTCTTCAGATTCGCAGTCTTGCATCTGAAACAAAACCAGAATTACATTTCAATGCGGATGTGCCTATATACAGTAACCATTTTTCTGCATGAGAAATAGAAAAAGGAGGGTTTTGTGATGTTTATTCTAAAACTGGAATTAACATAGCTGGTTGTGATGTGGAAAATTTGTTTTCTTGAGGTGCTTCTTCAAGCTTTTCATCCTAGGTATTCAAGTCTTCTAGCCGATGTGGCAAAACTGGCTTAGAGGAAAGGCTGTCATCTAGATGGAATTGTGTGGAAATATCAGAGGAACAGGGATCTTAAACATTTCTTGCCAGCTATTTTGTCTCTAAGTGTTTGGGTAGGCAATTTTTTCCTTTACTTCCTCATGAATTACTGGCAGTGGAATGCATTCCTATATGCACATAAGGCTATAAGCAATTTCCTCACTGTGCATTTAGCTGCATGAGCGGGAATGTGGCAGGACACACCCAATTCTAGCATAAGTAGAGTGGTCAGATGAAGTATAATACCATGGCACAATATATACTTCAGCTAGTCTGATGTAGGCCTCTTGGTCACTTCAAGTGAGACATTTCCTCTTCTAGTATCACTGTTTCTCTATTTCCAAAATGATGAAACACTGAATGACATGACACCATTTATAATCTTTGCAATCTCTTCTCTGAACGTACTTCTTTCTTCTGGAGTCCATTAGAAGGTTTCTGCTTCTGGAATTACGGACAACTACATAAGTTCTGACCATGCTGAGTTGTTATGGCACCTAATTTTGTGGGGTTTTGGGTTTTTTTTAAGATTCACAGGATAGGCTTTCTAAATAATACAGTTGGATCCCCCTTTTCCTAAGCTGCCCTGTGTCTGAGATTTTCTTTGTATGTACTTTATTCTGCAATTTGCTATGTGGCTAGAGGCACATGGTCAGGAATAGCTCTCTTTGGTCTGCATGAGGGTAATCTCCCTGAAGGGAAAAGCTGTGTGTGGGACACGATAAAATGAGTGCATTGTGAGAATTTAGTCCCATAGATTTTAATGTGGGAAAGAAAATTGGTTAGTAGATATTACCACTAGTGTATCATAAGTGCTTTGTGTATTGACTCTGAATCAATGTTATGGTATTTTTATTATTTATGATGGGAGAATTGAAAGGTATTTTCTGTTTGGCTAGTTATGTTTTTGGTGTAAAAACTTTTTTAGTATTGATGCAGTCATTTCAGCAATAACACTGATCTGTAATTAGCTAATAGAAGCCACACACACTTAAATAAGGCGGAGTTTCTCACTATGAAAAAAATGCCTATTAGACGTAGAATTTTTATTTTTTTTTAACTCCATGAATTACTGTATGCAGTCAGGTAAGGGCAGACCCTCATTTGAGGAGTAAATAGAAGAGTAGGGCATGCCAGAAGACTGGTAGGGATGGGAAGAAATAGTGAGGGATATGATAAAGTTGATTCATAAAATCTGCAGAACCTACTTCAAGTATAATTTTTTTAAATCAGCTTTAAAAACCTAGTGTATTAATTAAAAGGCCATTATAAAGTTAGGAAGAGATCAATATGGATATATTTATGTGTTAACACAATCACAGATAGGAAGAAATAGCGTACATTGAACTTGACACAAGGCAATATGATTATGTAGTTTCTCTCTGTGAAATTAAATGTTGTAACATGGGGTTTTTTTCCGCGATATTATTTAGCAGGACTTGCAAAAGTAGTATCTTGCATGAAAATACTTACATCCTGAAATATTCATGTAGTAGAGCGCTCACAAAATCAACAGAGAGAAAGCCTCTTGGGAGGAAGCAAGTCCTCATGGACTTGAGGAAAAAGAGAAAGGTGAACAGAAGATAGGTATATAGGCTCAAGTACTACTATTGGAATTTAACACTCATGTTAAATATTCATACTGAAACCATGAAGTTGGATCCAGTAAATAATTTAAACTGTAGTGCAGAATACGTAGACTTGAAATACCATCCGGAGCCCTCTGAAATCACCAAACACTGGAGGATGCTGAACTGCCAGACTGTAGTGTTTGGCTGAAGAGGGTTTTTAACCTGTTTTTCCCTGGGATGTTAGTGCCTTCCTTGGGGTCTCAGGATGACATATTCCTTCATTAAGAGCCAAATCTCTGGATCTTGTCCTGCATGTTGGCTCCTCACCTCTTTCTTGTAAAGAAGTGTGACTGCTGTTTACTTTCCTCTTCAAAGCTT